CCGTTGGCCCTGATTTTCACCGGTGACCGGTCAGATCCGCAAGGATTCGGTAACGAAACGGTCAGATGTGGTGAAAGTCCATCTTCAAACTGTGCACAGCCAACAAGAGAGATATCCAAGGTCTCCCCTCTCTAAGGTCTGCGTGATATGAAAGGTCATGAAAAGGAGGCATCCAAAAGCCAAAGGGTGAGATTGGGTGAGAACCTGCGCCAACACCAACCGTAAACCTCTTCGTTGCCGGTGCCGGCAGGCCTTTCGATCATCATTCTCGAGCCGTGCATACGTATCGTTGGGACGCGGTGGTGGCGGCTGCGGCACCTGAGTGCAGCGGAAATGATGAGATGGCGGGCACGCAATGTGTGTTCCCCCTGCACCACCGCGACATGCACCCCGAAAGGCAAATCAAAGCAGTGTTGACTGGAGGTCTTTGCGGATGGATCGATGAGCCTAAAACAGCATGGCAAACCATGGCAAACTCTTGACGCCAAAGTATTGCATTGTATCCCTAGGGATCCACATACCTTCTCAGAAGGATCCTCCTTGGACCCGACAATGGCGCTACTTCACCCAGAACCGGTACCTTCACAGTCAGAACACGTCACGGCGGTGTGAGTGGCTCGAGCCGGGTTTTTGGAGGTTTGTGTCGAAGTGGGTGGGTCACCAAACGGCACATTTAAAGCGTTTTTTTGCGAGGAGTCATTGAAATGAAGAGGCTGAAAACACTGTCATTGGATTTTGCTGATTCTTTTCTCCCCACCTGCGGATTCAACGTACGATTTCTCCGTGTATAGTTATTTATGCGTGTTTGGATGTTTTGTTTCTCCTTAGTGGCCCTGCGCATGATATGCGCGTTGTCTTCGTGTACACAGGCGTTGGCGGACCTAATTCTTGCGTGGGTGTGTCCTACATACACGAAGTATCACGAAGTCACATGGCGCCAATTCACGATACAATTCTGCGTTCAAGCGGTTCCTCCCTCCGTGCCTCGTTCTCGTTCCTTTGGAAACCCCTTCCTCCGGATCTCTGTCACGCATAGCATGCAGCATAGAACATGAAATGATTGCGATTAGCCGCACCCCATGATATCAGGGTAAAGCACGCCCAATGGTTGTATTTAGCCCCACCCAACATCACTTAGCACTCGATGCCGGAAGCATACGCATCATAGCATCGGCATATGTGCACGTGGCATCGCCATTAACTCCCCACACAACCCACCACAACCCGAACCAACTTTCCCGAAGCAAAACAAGTCAAACAAAAACGAGCTCAAAGCTCACCGTCGCTCACACCCCTGTGAGCACGAACCATGGCAATCCTGGCACAAAATTGTGAAGAGCTGGCATGCCCTTTAGGATCTTAATGGAAAGAACAAACTTCCCCGGAAGGCAAAGTCTTGACAACATCACAAATACTTCAAGACTTGAGCATGTTCCTTCCTTGTGGCTGCAACATGCTGCAACATGCTGCAGCTCCAACATGTCTCGCAGGTCATTTTGGCGAAACCTTGCCAATCCAGTCTTAGACGGAATTGCCTGCACCGTCGCCACAGCTGCGACGTCGCCATGCCAAGTGAAGCGACGACAGTGTCAATTCAAACAAAAAAAAAACGTTGGATGTGTTTGCTTAATGAACTATACTATAGACCAAACGTTTCAACAAACCAACTGTTCTTTGGTGTGTTAAAGACCAGGTCCGTTTCGCTCGTGTTGACCTGGTCATCTCGACTCGTCGCACCGTGACGTGGAACGGTCACGTCGCGCGTTGCGAGTGCCACGCGTCGTCGGCCGTTCAGTGGCCCTGAGCACCAGGCTCCGGGAGGCGCTGCGCCAGCAAACTCGAAGTTCTGGGACATGTAGATGGGATCTCGGAACCGGCCCAGCGGGTGCGGGGTCGAGGGCGTCTTTGGCTGTGTTTTGCTGTGTCGTGTGTGCTTTTTCTGGACTCGAAGAAGTGCTGGAGGTGCTTTTTCAGGAACCTGGACAAATAATTCCCCAGAAGTTCAAGGTTTGGATGTGATCATGCTCCGCCCAATCTGCTGCTTACTTGCCAGAACAATCACTGCGCGGCCCGCTGCCTCTCTGGGGAACCCAGGCTGTAGCTCCAAACCTTCTCTGACTCATGGCCCTCCATGTGCTTCCGCATCCAATCCTCAACCAAAACTTGGGCTTTTGCGGGGCAAAGCAATTCTTCAAAACTGAAGTATTCAGAAATTTGATGTGTTCAGGACCTCACCAGCCACCTTAGCGCTGGGAGTCCAAGACCATTTTTTCTCGTAGCCTTGGTTTTGTAGTGTAAAACACAAAAATTGTGTTTTAATAGACTTATATAGTATAGTGAACAATGGCTGCTCGGTAAAGACCATTAACAACAATGGTGGTTGGTCCTCCCAGGGTTAGGATGGACAGAGCTTCCTGTCAGCAGTCGCAACTGTTGAGTACCAACGGGCCCGGCCTTCTGCAGTTCAGCACTGTTGAGCTTCTGCGAGGAGTACAGAAAAACCTGCGGCGTTGGCGCGGTTTTCCGCCGGTGAAAACCGCAGGTCCTGGGTAAAACCGAAACTCAGAAGCATGGATTTCAATATCTTTAAACCACACCGAAGCTCCAAAAAATGCTTGCCAGGAATATGCTATAATATGCTGAATTGTTGGATTCCATCGGTGAACAACACATTTTCTATGAAGCAGCATGACCGCCCGGCAAGTGCTCCAACAGTCATCATACATCCTATATACACACTCCAGCGCACGCCTCACCCTCCAGGAAGGGCGTCTCGCGCTCCCGCTTCTTCCCCAAAAGGTCGTGTAGCCGCACATTGGCTTCCGACTGCGTCCGCACCTCACGCGGTGCCGACCGGAGTGGTCGTGGTCCCGGTAGCGTGGCCACACACAGCGTGCGCGGCAGAGTGGAGCAATCTGGGTAGACCCCCATCCCATGCCTTGCCAGGCTAACTTCATGACCCGTATGCCAGGCCACTTCGGGTTCCCAATGGCCCCTTGCCACTGTGGCCCAAGCAAAGCCAAAGCTTCCGGAATCCCCGATCAATTGGCCCCCCTCTCACCACCCCAACTGATCGGCAGTCCGACATGGCAGTCCCACGGGTCACCTCTGAGTAAGGCAAACAGGGCCTCGTTGGATGGTGGCGTCTCGCATCGCGGAAGGGCCGAAGACCGATACTGAGAGCTGGGCCAGCTCCTTGTTGGTCTTGAGGAAGTTCTGCATCGAGGCCTGAAAGGACCAAAACCCCAGCAGATCTAAGCAGAAGTAGAGGAAAGATACCAGACAAATTATTATCACGTTTTTTTGGTTTCAGCAGTTGAGTCAAAGAGTCATGCGAGAGTTATGATAAGAATGATGCGGATCGGTACATCATGTTCCTCCTGATCATCAAAGATGTCAGGTCTGACATCAGTGTCTTGAAGTATGTTTTAGTATTTGGTTGCCCGTTTCCCTACATACGAGTAGGAAGAGTTCTCCCATATCCATCCCCAATCGACCCTCAGGTGCGGCCATGAATCAACACGGTGGCCCATGATATTTCTTTCACGATGAATACCACCCTCAACATATGCAAGGACGTAAGGTGTCAACTGGTTTCGGGGCTACATCCATCCCAACTGGTCATCACATGTCTGCACGCAAACCAGCGATGGCATCCCGAAACACGAACCCACCGGTCACCCACATTTGAGAGCCCCACCCATCGACCAAGTCGCCAAACCCCCCAACATATCCTGTAATTACCAATGGCATGGGAACACCTGAGCCATCCGGCGGTTTTTCGCAGCTCCGTGTGCTTCTCGTAGTGGTTGTTCCTTTCATCGCCGCATGCGAGCCGCATGCCGGTCCGTGCAGCGACCAAGCTCGTTAGACCCACCTTCATGATTGGTTTCCTCTAACCCTACAGTGGATTGAGAGTAGATGGCACAAAAAGACGTCCTTTTCATATAGGGGTCCAGATCAACCACCTTTTGGGAATTGTGCCATCTACTCTCAACCCACTATAAGAATCCGGGCCCTCAAACTGGGCCCGAAAAAACTCCCCCTGCGTTTCGGGGTCGGGTCCGACATCTGAACATGGCCACTGACGATCCCCTCCAGGACTTCAACAAGCTTGGTAACAAGAAGCTATTAGAATTAAAATTAGTAGCTTCTTGTTACTACTAGTAAGGCACTTGTTCCTAGTAGCGAGGCACTTGTAATTACTAGCAAAGGTTTAAATTTTGAATTCAACCTTTTGGGTCGAAAACGGACACGAACGCGTGGTCGGACACGGCACTGCTTTTGGCTTCGGCGCAGCAGCTTCGGCTCTGCACGATGGTTCTGCTCTGCTTCGCGACAACTTTTGTGTCGGAACTGGTGTCAGACCGGGTGGCCTTGAAGAAACGGCCCTGACCCTGTCAGGCGCTGCGTGGTAAGTAGGCCCTTGGCCTGCAAAGGATATCAATGTATAGTGTTTGGGTACCTGTAACAGTGGATGATGATGGATAGCAAAGGCCTTTCTCAAAGATAGTGATAATCTTTTACCATCTGTTACTGGTAATGGGCTACACCCTATGTATAGTGTATTATAGTGTGGAAACTGAACTTCCAGCCGGGCCATCACCAGACTGCGTCTCGATCTGCCAGTCATCTTGCTTGCCAGTCATCTTGAGCTCACGCGATTAGAGCGGCAATCTGTCCAACACACAGGGACATGAATTTCCCCACCAACCATAGCATCCTTTTAGGTTTGGCCTGTTCAGCCGCCTAGACCTGCACTACAGCAAACACTGGGTGATTGGTTTGTACCACCTCCAGTTTCCGATACTTGTGACTCATTGCCCAATTCTGTAAATCTCATACCCACAGGCCACATGACACATGCATTGATGTGGCGGTCCGTGTGTCAGGTGGTGTCAAGTTTCCCTCTAGTTGTTCATAGCTGGTCCTCCCACGACTGAGCGGTCCCATAACCTATCTGAAAGGGTTAGGGCTAGGGAAATACAGTCAATCCAACCAAAGGAAACCCACCAAAAAGCTGCAAGAAATAATCAGAACCTTTCGGAATTTAAGCCAACCAACTAGAAACCCCTTGCAACTGCTCTGAAAATTTCCATGGAATGCCACTCCGACTGTAACCCCCACGGGGCCGACCAACTAGTCCAAGGCAACCAGATTCACATTCTGCCTCGACACCTGCACACACAGCGGCTGTTGCCGCGGCTGTGCTCTCTCTCTCTCTCTCTCCCTCTCTCTGCGTGAGAATATATAGTACGGTATTACGCCATAAAGTCTAACTTCTGCTTGATCACTGGAGGGACCAGAGATTGTGAGCAGAACCTGCGATGCACTTGTTTAGACTCGTAGCTTAGCAGCTTCTTGTTTCTAGTGTTACTAGCGATGCACATTAGTACTATATATAGAACACCTGGTGAAGCGAGGTCTCCTTTCTTGAACCCGTCTCGCTCGCGATTCCCGCGAGCGAGACGGGTTCCGGCCTCTTCCGGTGCGATCTTCTGAATCAAGGCATTGCACCCGGAGCCTCGGACCGGAGCGGAACACGACCGCGAGCGAATCGGATCGGTGCTGACAGCTAGCGTTCGATGCTCATGGCTCGGTGCATTGCTTTCGGTGCTGAGCGAATGATGGTGATTCAGGATTCGTCTTGGATCCAGAAAGATTGGCATGTTCTATAACCTAAATACTCCATGTATATGACATATATTTACCTACATTCGGGTGGTTTCAGGGGTCAATGAATGCAAATATGCATATGGATGGTCTGGATACTTATGCCAAATTAGGATATGTCTCATGATTCTCATGAAAAAGAACAGGATGGTGACGAGCAGCAAAAAGCCAGAGTCAGGTTGCACAACTTCTTGGCACAGGACTGACAGTATGGGCCATGCTTGCCTCAGACCAATCAGCACACAGTGCGGACCCGAAAGCAACATCCCCCAACATATAGTTGCGGTGGGGAAAACAACTATAAACTATTATGCCCTTTTTGGATGCGAGGGGTCAACATGCAATTGTTTTTGAATGTTTTTGAAAAGTTATCTATATAAGTCAAAAGAGCAAACTAACAAACTGCCTCAATCTGCCTCAATCTGCCTCCAGGCCACTCCATGACCTCTCTAATCCGCCAATCAGCCCAACAGGGACCAACCAATCCGACATAATCCGACTATCATGACTATCATGACTCAACCTGCCTACCCACCTGCCTAGCTAAACCACTTCTCTCAGTCCATGCAGTCACTGCGACTCCTCTCAGTCCGTCGCAGTCAGGGGATCCGAAGATGCTCCTGGCAGCGATCTCCTCAGTGCCGACGTCTTCCGTGCCCGAAGTCTTCCGCCCGGGCAACGTCCGAATTGGACGGATCTGCTGTCCAGGAAACTGGTGGAAAAAAAAAAAACTGTATTCCCCATGCCAAGGGGGATTCAGAAATCACCTGAAAATAGACGAAATCACCTGAATATGCAACACCAGGAGAATATGCGGTATCCGTCCCTATCACAGGTGTATAGACGTCTCATACCGTATATGGAAAGGTGTAAGCACCCCGCATTTTGAAAGAACAAACGGGTCTTCAAGTACTGGCCGAGTAAACATGTTTCCTGTTGTCTCTTTTCGGTTCTCATTCTCTCAACCAGGCTGAGGTGCTGCATAGACTTCCCCAGCTGCCACATGCCCACATCGCTGGCAGGGCGGCCCTGCTCCCACCTTGGTTGCAGCCTTCGGTGAAGTGGCAGGCTCCGGGACAGCAAACGGGATTGACACCTGCAGTTGCAGGCGTCTTGCACGATGCTCACGCGTTGAAAACAAAGGTTCTTGAAGAGTGGATCTGGGCATGCACGATGGGCATCTTACACTCCGACTTACTGACATGGAAGTCGTCTTCCCGGGGTCCATGATGGCCCATGCTATCCACTTCCATGTTAGCGAGTGTCATTGGGGTTCTTACCTGGCGGCATCATTTTTGGGATCAAACGGGCTAAGAGAGTGGTCTCGGAGGGTCAGCAACTAACAAAAAAAGCACACAAAAGAACACGAAGAATGCGTGATCCCATGAACTCGGACTCAGGTTCCTGGCGCGCAGCAAGCTGTTCATTAAAAAGGCTCTCAAACTCAAAGGCATCTGCAAATAAACACTGAACCGGTAAGATGTGAACTGAGCATCCAGTTATCTGTTTACGTCCTAACGTTTACTGTAATAGCACCTTTACGTAAGATGCTCTCTGGTTCACATCTTCTCCAGCACCTGATAGCAAGTCGATACCCCTCCTACCCACTTCTCCAGCAAAACACCTCTGGGCAAACTGCCCGCTTGCTACAGCCACTGCCGCAGCCATCTTCCTGCCGATGCCGGCCGATGTCCTTCTTCTGGCAATCTCTGCCGCAATAGTACACCTCCAAAGGTGCGGGCAGAGCTAAACTGATTGACAGCAAGTCCCAGTAAGACAGAAGACCCGATCATTCGCACACATTTCCACCAGTGTGCGTTGAACCACGAACCATCTGGCTTGCAGCACAAAAAGATCCAATTTCAAGGGCCACACAGGGCACAGGGACATGGACAACTACTATCAAACAGTTGCACTCGTCACGAATCAGGAAAGTCGAAAAGGTCAACTCCTCCAACAAACTATAGGTTGTTCCATATTCATCTGAGGGATGGTAAAAAGGTACCAATACTACAAAATAACTATCAACCTAAACCAGTGCAGGTTCCCACACACCAACATGTCAGCCAAAATTAAAGCCACACCCCGTTTCTTAAAGGACACCAGCGTCACACCAAAAGAGCCTCCAATAACTATTACAGTAATTGATTAATTTGCATTTCTTGAAAGTGTGAAAAACACAATGGCCTTCCTTGCCACTAGTAACAAGTGCATCGCTACTAGTAGCTAGAAGCTAGTACTAGCACTTCCGCACACCCACGGCCGGGTCGCAAGGTTTGATGTTCATTGCATGCTCAACCCTTCAAACATAACTCTTCTAAACCCCTGAGGCTTCAGTTGGGAATACTGGGCCATTGCATCGAATGGGTGGATATCACGGTGACCCTTGGAAACCCTTGGGGCCTGCCTTAATGGTTCATCTCCGCAACATACACCTTACCTGAGGTGTCTGTAAATAGCCTCTTGGAGGTGAAGAGGTGTCCGTTGCAACCACCTCTTGGAAGGTCCTGGTATGGACAAGTTGATGTAGACTCTTGATCAATAAACTATGAAAAGGTATTCTTCAATCCAATTGGGATGGGTTTCGAACAATCAAGAGTCTATCATTACACCGTATACGTGGACAAGTTGCTTGCTTGCACACGGAACATCTCCTTGGATTCCGCTCGACGCAACGCGACACTCACGCGGTCCGAAGCGTCGGATGCGTCGGGGTCTTCAAGCGACATACCTCAAGCGATCCCTTGTTGTGAAGCGCATTGCAAAGCATGGAAATAATGATCCCCTGATCAGTAAACATGCTTGAAAAAACCGTCTACTTCACCTATACCCGTCCAAAGACTACGACCTGGTCTTTTAGCTCCTGAAAAGTGGGTTTTGTATGATCATCTCCAGTAAAATGAGCTCTTTGACTTGTAGGGACGGTTTCAAAACTCACTGCAAGATATTTGTGCACACTTTGAAACGATGACCGCAGGGACTCGATCCGAAAATGAAAACAACTCCAACTACAAGGTCACACACGGTCCCAGGTGACACACCTAAAGAAAGACACACTCATTCATAGGAAACACCTTCCCCGCAGGGAAAACCTCAACTTCTTGAACCTGATGGCCTCCACTCATGATTTCTTGTTCTGTTTCCTCCTGCACCAACCAACCTGCTGCCTTTGTTGTCCCAGTCCTGAACCCTTGTGATTTGCGAAAGCTTTGGGCGACAGAGTCAAACGACTCCAGCACACCAATTAGGTCCATTAGGTGCTGTGGCACTCTAGCTCCAAGACTCTTGTACCTACGTGGCGTGGGCAAACCCTCGTCACTTCCAAGCGTCTTCACCTGGTCGGAGGCGCCACAGGCGGCGCACGCCATGACCGCCGACTCCCCCGCCATGGAACGCGCGTTCCGTTGAGCTCCTGCTATCGCGTTGCTTCAGGACACCAACGGCGAAGGTGGCGGATTGAGAAGGTGCACCCCCCCAACAGCTTGATCGGTCGATCAGTGCGCGGATCGATGGATAGATGGATACATGCGTTGGGTCCATGCTAATGGAACTGGAACATGGATGGCTGGCAAGCGGCTTGATGAGAGTGTGGCAACTACTTCTATACGTATATGGTTGATTGAGCCAAGAAGAGGGCAGCATGCCAGGAGCACCTTGAAGGTTCGGCAAGAGTTGCACTTTTCGTCCCAGTGTGGCTTCCTTCAGGGCTATCGAACGGACAAAAAACCACCAAGAGCGACACAAACAGGGCACCTTGTTTTCCTTTCTTTCTCTCAACTCTCTCTCTCTCTCTCTGGCATGACTCGTCCCCGGTTCCGACTTCTCTCGTCGTCTAAGACCCCCCCAAACCACCACCACCCCTATGGCAGTCCCGTCGACGGGTCGTGTCTGTCGCTGTCTGCGTGGCGCAGTTTGCGTCTTCGACCCGAGCACCCGCACGTCTGGTCCAGGGCCACCTTGAGAGTCTGACGCTCTTGAAAGCGCAGGGTGCCTGGCGTGGGGTGATGGGTGATGATGGACCAAGAGGCATAACGATATAAATATTAATATATTATATACGTTATATATCGTAAAGATATGTAAAGATATATGATGATATATGCATATATATATGGGTCCACCAGTTTGTAAACAACGTGCCGGTACTTCTTGTAGTTTCGTGGAAGAAGAAGAACAAAATGCCCTTTCAAGAAAAAAGGTGTCGTTTCAAACCTCCAGTGTCTTCAACACAAGCACTCGAAGCTGTTGCCACAACCCTTGGTGCTGTTTCGTGAAGGTCATCTGCAGCTTGAAACACTTGCTCGGTTCTATATCACCATTTCAGGAACAACTCAAACATAGAACCATAGCAAAGACCCAAAAGGTGACGTTTCCTCAAAAACAATGCTTTTCAGGAAGCAGCAGTAATTGTTTGCAGACTACTTAGGAAGATGCAGGTGACACAGGTATGACTTTGATCTTGCCAGCCGGTTGAGACCAACAAAATAACAGTACGATGTGCCTGTCTGCCCTCTTAATAAGAAGCACCGGTGGTCGCACGGCACGTTGAATCTGCCAGCACCGGTGTCTGCCCATCCATGGCCTCCAGCCGTCATGGCCAAGGCCTGCACACGAGTTGCTACGGCTTGGACAACTTGGTGGGCCTCCCCAGATCTGGCTCCCATCCCAGACACTCCATGTATGCCATACTGTATGCCATGTCGGACTGTCGAGAAACGGCCAGGGGTGGTGCCAGAAAGGTCCATGGGGCTGCAGACCAGTCACCAGTCCCATGGAGCGGCATTCTGGGCGTCTAAGGCGCGAGGGGGCAAAGGGTCACAAGAATTCACCTCAACAAGTGCATGGGGCCGCTGTCAAGTCCCCCGGCCCATCTAGACCACCTTGCCGATCACCTAGACTCGGTTTGAGCAAGAAAGCATTCCAAGGGCTCCGTTATGCACGGGTTCAGCTTCTTGTTTGAGCTTAAAAACCTGTAAACACCTGTATTGCTGTTGAGCGACTGACCGATCCTTTTGTCCTGTACAGTTAAGCTTCAATATACGCAATATAGGTCAATACCAAAAATATAACTCAGCGGTTTCTGCCGACTCCGAACACCCTCTCCGCAGCGGGTCTCCCCGCCTCCTGTAGCACCCCCTTCTGCGTCGCCGTGTCGCCCACGGCGAAGGAACGTCGTGGCTCGCAAAAGGTGGAGCGCTTTCGGTCTGCGGCGGGAAAGCGCTCACCCCTTGATGGTCATACGAGTCCGAAGTAGGTGGTGTGTTCTACTTCGGAGGTGGTGTCCAGGAAGCCGGAGAAAAAACCGAACGGGTGCTCCTGGGAGATGTGTTTCATGCAACAAATTATGCAACAACTCTGTGTTTTACAGTGATTTCTTACAAAAACCTCTCCAAAATTGAGGTTTTGAGCTATTGTTTGATCAATTTTGTGAGATCCAAGCCTATCCCAGTTTAGAGGGAATACCAAAACAACAATAAACCCAAAAAAAGAAACACCAAAAACCAAAATGTTTGAGACAAAATGGGGGCACTATTGGTTTTTGGATGTTGGCTGCATTTTGTCTCAAACATGGTTTGTTTTGCTTTTTTGGTTTATTGTTTTTTTGGTATTCCCTCTAAACTGGGATAGGCTTGGATCTCACAAAATTGATCAACAAATAGCTCAAAACCTCAATTTTGGAGAGGTTTTTGCAAGAAATCACTGTAAAACACAGTGTTTTTGCTTCATTTAAGTTTAACGGTGGAATTTGATTTTAAATTGGATTTCAATTGATTTTGGTATTAGACTTCAATTAAAACGCTTTCAGAATTATTGGTGGAAGTTGATTTCTCGTTGGTTGTCTGTTAAAAATGTGTTTAATTGTGGATTTTTTACAAACTAAGTTTCATTTATGTGCTCTCCCAAGCACACCCACCCTCAAAAAAACAAGTAAAGAACCATAGGGAAAATATGGAATCACTTTAAGCAAAACCTGGTGTAGTTGCACACTGGCAGCAAATCAGTGTGGTACGGTATAGTGGTGCCTGGCACTGACTAGGCATTTTCGTTTACATTTCATGCCACTGACTCCTGCGGGGCGTCTGACTACAAAGAAAAGGCTTATTAGCCACCATTCACCCGTTGACATCTAGTGGTGCGAGCAACCCAGCCCGTAACCGGGAGAGAGGGCGACGGAAGGCAACATGCACTTGCCTCGATGTCTTTCGCTTCATGCGGTTCCAGTTCATCAAACAAACGATCAACATGGTGTACCTGGACCTTCAAGGGGTGTCCTGTCTGGAGGTCCCTTAGTAGTGTAGGGGCTTCCAGCCAGGTGACTCCGACATTAAGGTGCTGGTACGCTTTCATTTCTTCCGGTGCTTTTAGTTTGAAGTCTTGCCGAGCTCTGTCTCCTTGTCTCAAGCTCTTCCTCTTCGACTTTCCTCTTGCTCCAAAGGTCACTTCAGGTGAGTCTCCTATTCTGAAACGCAGACATGTGTTCTTGAAACTTGAAGATTACCGAATCAAACACACAGAACCATTAAAGAATATAAAGAAGTTTGAGTCACACCCGAGCAACTTTAATTTGGCACTCCTCTTCTGGAACAGTTTCTCTTCCCTTCAGTTGCTTCTAGTGGTTCGCACTTAGCTCCTTTTCATTATATATTTAGTCCATGCATGATTCGCGCTATCTTGTTTTCTGCATGGAGGAGTCCTGAATGCCACGTGTTAATGTCTAGTCTAGTCTAGTCGGAGTAGTTCATACATCGGGGATGGAAAAACAAACATTCAGAAGAGGACCCAAAAAACTGCTTTTTGATCTTTGGGCTTATTCACGGAGTATACGAGTAGCAGGAGTAGGAGTAGGAGTAATCAGAAGGAGCCGTGGTAGTATAGTATACTGGCCTGAAACGCTGGACAAGGAATCGGCCACCATTTTCGTGATTCTTCAAGGTCCCTCCATCACCTACGTTTTCGCTTCACAAAGAAGACTTCCGTCCTGACCTTCGACAGCTTCGACTGATGTTGATTTTTGTGCCAGGCCTTGCGCTCAAAACCTCCAGACTCCAGATGTCCATCCGAAGGCAGTTTTGGTGATTAGGGTCGTGCTGACCAGCCATCTGGTTGTGATAAAGGGGCATTATGGGGCATTGGGAAACACAACCAAACATCTTGAAGGCCAAGCAAGCCTCTTTGTTGAATATGTCCATGTTTTGTCAATGTGTTTAATACTTTTTGACAAGTGTCCCTCCAAGACCTGAGCACGCAATTTTTTAGAGCGGATGACTTTTGGGGGCGCACCTAAATATCTGTTTTCAAACCTCCAGGTTTCTCAAATGAACGAAGAAAAAACGCCGATCGGAAGTGGTTTTGCGGTTCTGCGCCGGTTTCGACCTTCGATCTTCCGGTGCTGGTTGTGATCTGCTTGACGCCGTCAAACATGTGGGAACTGGACCGGCGATACGTGGAAAAAGGTGGTTGCAATGGCAAATGGTAAGTAAAAGGAATTAAAAGGACACACACAAACACCTACAAAATATTACAAAGTTACATAATAGACAATAGGCATTACAGTAATCGACTACATTGAAACGATCAAAACAACACGTCACTAAACAAACTCATGAACTCAAAGGGGTCACTCAGTTCTGTTTGGTCAAAGGCTTCTTTGGTTCTGTTAGCCTTGTTTTGTTTGTGTTCTTCGATGTCTTTGTTCTTGCCATCTGCCTTTTTCCACTTGACTTTCTTGTTGGCTATAGGCTATCGGCGGCCAAGTTCATCTATCGCACTCCCTGGATCCTCTGTATTGAAGCAACATCAAGAGCAGTGCAGCCGAGCAGTGCAGCTATGGCTCCACATCGGCGAAACGCGCCCGCTCCACGAGGCTTTTTGGTCACGAACATCAGGGGGACGACCAGGTCTCCCCCCCGAAACGCCACGCGAGAGTTCGGTCTCCCCGTCTGGCCGCCCAAGTTCGGCGCACGAAACAAACGAACTCGGGCGGCCCCGCAGCCTGTCTTTCTTCTAGATTTGTTGACCTCGTTCGAGCGGCACGTGTCTAGTGGTACAAGATCGCCCAAAGGTCCCAAAAACACCTCCTAAGTCATCTCATGAAGGAATAAAGTCGAGCCCTCTTGCTGTGGTTAGTGCAAAACGGTAGGTAGATAGGTGGGTAGGTGGGTAGGTAGGTAGGTAGGAAATGACGTCGTGAGAATCCTGTGAATCCATTAATGCGCGATCTCTTTAGCTTGAGGAACAAAGCATATGACAACGAAGCTTGAAACTGGAACACAGAATGGCATCGTATGGGCAATTTGGGATCATCTTTGGCCCAGCAAACCCGATGGGTGCGATCGACGAAGTGCGTCGACGAATTGCCAGCGATCCATAGCGATCCATTTGTTCGGTCGAGGCACTCCGTCCTATGGAGACTGTTGGAGTCACCTTCAACAATTCCATGCACCCAAGCAACACACTTGACCTCCATCT